GAAGGTCTCTTTAGTTTACAGTTTGCTGCCATTTACACGGTGATCTCTTCTAACACCTCACTCAGGCTCAGGAGAGAATAAAAACAAATCAAAAAGGAGAGAGCAGATATCTGTATTTACAACATGGATCACTGCTGCTTCCAATCCTCAAGAGCTGTGTGGGTAACTATTTACCCTTTGTCTCACTCTGTGCAAGTTCCCTTCGGCAGGTGAAAGTCAGCGTCAGAATGGACTAAGATCTAACCCACGGGGGCCCACACGGTTTCAAAAAAAACCTCAACAGTCCTGAATGGACAGTGTATTTTCGTTCCTGATTCACTTGAGTCATAATCCATAAAACCTGATGACGGATGATGAGACAGAAGCACACTGAATCCCTCTACAAAGGAGTCAGGGCAGAAGTGCTGAAGTGACCGTATGACTTAAATCCATGCAACGTCTTCAATGTGCTCTGTGCTTCCGCTTCTTGTGTTTTTTATCTTTCTTTTTGTTGGCACATTTAGAACAGAACCACTGTGTTTCTTCTGGAGGTTCAGTTGTAATTCCAACACAAGGCCTGTGAATTTGACAAAAAAGCACAAGGTTTCAGTGAGCCAAGGCTACTTTTATTTCACATCCCTATAAGACACATTTCTTTAGTTGGGAGACCGAATCTGACTAATATTTTCAGTCCAAAATCCATTACTATAACAATAGCTAGACATTCAAAGTCTCTTGTTTTGAAACAGAAAATATATTAGAAGGCTACTTCGATAACAATGGTATGTCAATAAAATGAGATGTCTCCACTTTGGGGTGTAATAGGTCAGATTCAAGATAACGTGTTTGCAGTAAAGCTTATTGTTTTTGCAGGCATTTTACCAGACAGCTATATGAAATGATTCGCTTCTTTATAAGAGCACAGTCTTCCAAAAGTAGTAATGCTCCCATAACGTGACACATTCTAGCTGCATTCCTCGTGCTCATATTCATATGGTTCTTTCAATATCATCAGACACGCACAGATTCCCAAACAATCTCAAAGCAATGTACTAGTTTTCTCACACATTTCACAGAATATTTCCACTAACAAAAAATCCCCAACCAGGTGTTAACTTAAAATTTACTTTTGCAAACTTCCAAAGTAACACAGGTAGAAGTAAAATTGTCCAAATGACCAGTGGGAACAAAGGGGAGCTGTTTAAACACTCTGCTTTTTTGTAACTAATATGGGGTTTTTTTAGGACAGCAGCGATCTTGGAAAGAATGATACAAAAGGAGAAGTGAGCAACTTACCAGTGATACCAATCATCACAATCATCACAGCCTATCATTGGACTGCCATCATCTGGTTTGTTACAGCCAGGACAGATCCAGATCTGGTTACCCCATTCATCTCGGATCTGGTGTAAAGAGGAAAGAAAATGTTGATTGCTTTCAGCAACCACTGGGCAGCAAAGCTGATTTCTCCTTAAAGTTAGGTTTCCTGTTTACCTGCCAGAGCTATTCACTGCACACACTATTCCTGGATAGGGGCATATAAGAATACCCTAACTGCAAGTGCTTACCATTACCATTCAAATTGATTTGTTGTGCTGGACTTCAAACATTTTTATGCACTGTTTTATAAACAAGTAAAGCGAGTTAAACCACTTGATCCATGAGAATATTCATTCCCACATAACAATCACCATGATTTAACAACACAGGCCACTAGTTCTGGTATCATCCCCATCAGAAGGACTTTTTATTCTTTAAATTCTATACTGGTTAGTGACAGAACAAGCAATGGCAGCCTCCTGCATAAGACAGCAGCCTCGTGTATGTAATACATACAGTGAAATGTGTATGCACTGCCTTATTACTTATTAGCCAAACCCTTCCATTCAAGTAGCTGATAAGATCAAGGATATAAAAAGTTGTTACTGAGTAACTTTCCATTCCCTTCATGACATTTATGTCACAGGACAATTTACTAAAGTGTAAATGAAATGAGAGAGGCAGATCATTTACAGTATTAAGCACATGTTTACTAACTCATCATACTCGATGCCTTATGATGGCCTTCTATTATTAATTCCAGCTCAAACCACACTCAAATTTGTAAAATTTCAAGACTCTTACCTAACAAGCCTTTTGTATATTTTGGTAAAATATAAAAATGCACAACATTCCATTCTGTGAAGTACAATTTATATGGGCAAATACATAAACAACCGTCCAAAGATTTACACTGATTTTATCACTTATAAACAAGGATTGGCAGGATGACTAAGTCTTTAGAATAAGATTGCATGTGTTTGTTTTCAGCAGTTGCTAGAACACATTGTCACGGCCCATGTAGGAGAATCACTTTTTCTTGTTATGCAGAAAGCTTAGAAAAATTACATTTAGAGTGAAAAAAGACAATACATACTATTATGGGGGGGGAACCTAACTACACACTGGACTATAAATCTCATACCATCTTCCAGGGAAGTCAATAAAAATGCTCAAGGGCTGCAGCCAATCTATCGTTCATGACTAACTCCTTTTAAAGTCTTGGGTTTTTTGTCATTCAAAACTAGATGATACAAGGCACAAGAAAATATGAAGCACTGGGCCTGCACTGACAGGGAAATGGACTGGCCAGCGTAACACAATTTGGTTTTAATAATCATTTTATCGACACATCTAATCTCACTTTTGCAAAGTCATTTCCTGTTGGTGCAAAAAACAATTTGGTCCCAGCGTAAAGTGACTACCTGGACTTCAGGATGCCAGGCTCACACAAAGGCATCTCTCTGAAGTAATCAAAGTAGAAAAAAGCAACACGCCGTGCCACTCTGCTGCAAACAAACAGTAGTACAGCTGTAGGAGTGCCAATTACAGCCAATTATAACCTGCTCGAGCAGCCTGGCTGTTAAAATGCCAAGCAAAACCTGCAGAATGCTTCCAAGATGGGCACTGTTTCTTTGCAGGTGTTCAACTTGGGACGTTCCCTGTTTTCATACAAGGGGCTGGTAGTGTCACCTAGTTAAGGCAGCCCAACACTTCCTCTTTACAAGCCCCTGGTTTTAGATGCTAAGGACTCTTTCAAACTTTAACTGTTCAGGGCAAAATGTTCCATTCTGCTTCAGCTAGATTTTTATTTACTTATTCATCTGGAGTAGAAGTTTTAAGGTAACAACAATAGGCCCTTTTTGGAAGATGGCTGACTGAGAGGTGCAGACAGGGTGGGGGCAAAGGAGTAAGGTCTTGGCTCTGGACGCCCACTGAAGAGGCTAAAAAGAAATATTTAGGAACTACCTATTCATCGAATGAGGCAAAATTCCTGCATGAAAAAATTGTAAGACCACTGTAAATTAAAGACTGTACACTAATCCTGGCGTTTCCTACCTCAACAGCACTTGGCCTTGCAAGCTTACAGTTCGTGATTTTAATTTGTTGCATATAAATCTTTTAGGCACAATAATGAGAGCAAGAGTTAGTAACCTCCCATCTTATGATATCGTTACAGAATATCTTTCCTTAGCTGGAGGAAAAATTATGCTTTTGTGGTTAAGACACTGGATTAGGGTTAATGGTGGATGGACTCTTGTCCTGGCCTTGACACAAACTTCCTGTGTGATTTTGGGTGAGTCATGTCATTGCTTTGTGCCCCAATTACCCAGTTATGCAAAAGTAGTGATATGATAATGCTTTCATTTTTCCTTCCTTTGTTTTGTCTTGTCCATTTAGATGATAAATTATTTGTCCCTTGCTATGTGTATGGTCAGGGTTTATACAATGAGACCTTGATCTCAGTTGGGGTCTCTGGCTAATTTGAAAAAGGAAAAAAATGGATCAGCTATTAGCAATGGCCTCCACTCCCCCCATATGGTAGCAAGACTTTGCATAAAGAAATACTGAGCTTAGAACACAATGAGTTTTCCCTTCTGTAATTAAACTAATGCTATCTGAAAACTGTTTGCTTTTAATGCTTATTGCGAAAATGAGATGTAGTACCAGCCCTCTGCAAGCAGTTTTCTCCTACAGTAAATTTCCTGGGGCACTGCTGTAATACAAGTAAAGTGATGATATATTTATTTTTGTGATAAAAATGGCAATATCATAGTTGGTATCTTCAACCCAAAAAGCTTTACTAAAACTGGTATGCAAATTGAACATGGGGATCCCTTCACCCAGCACTGTAATCAACTCCAGAGTGAAATGTAGCAGCTGGTTTAATAGGGCCTGGGAACATGATACAACAGTTTAAGGCAAGCAGTGAAGAATACAGTTTCCATTAGAAACCACATGGTAAATTTACAGGAGGCATCATTATAAAACAACAGCATTAACTGCAACATTTGGTCGATTTCTCATTTTAAGTGTAGGAAATACTATAATAAAAGCAAGCACCAGGATACTATAAATGGTGAAATGTTTAAAGTGGCACCCACGAAAGATACAGGTGCAAGACACAATTATTCACGTTGGAATACAGCCAAACGAGGGTAAGGATTCTACTGGTTCTGCATAGAGTTGCATCGTGTTCTTTAAATAGGGTGACCATATGTCCCAGTTTTGCCAGGACAGTCCTGGGTTTCATAGGCCATCCTGACATCCTGGCCAGTTAGCTAAAATTGAAGCAAAAGTCCCAGATTGGTGCCACCCCACCCACTCTAGCTTCTCCTGAGCAGTGGCTGGAGGCTGAGGGGCAGGCTGGGCTGAGCACCGCTCCTCCTGCCTGGGGCAGAGATCAGCCAGGCAGGGTGGGCCAGAGAAAGGGTCCAGAGATCAGGTACCTGTGTGGGGCAGGTCAGGATGGCTGCTCATTGCCAGAGGTATTGTGCTCTGCTGCTGTGGCTGCTGCTAAGGCCCAAGCTGCTCATGGCAGCTCCGGGCGGCTGCCGATGGCAGGGAGAGGCATCATGTGGCCACACAGCCTGGGTTGGTGGAGCTTGGGGGTGCTGCACAATGGCCACTCCCAGCTGAGTCCAGCCTCTGTGCGTGGGGGATGGAGCCTGGCTGCAGGTCTCCATGCTGTCCTGCCCCGCCCCATCATCAGTGTTACTGGGAGCTGTGGGGTTAGAGGGGCAGAGTGTGGCACTCTTCATCCTGGATCCCCTTACCCCTTCCGGATTTCCTTCATATAATACAGTTACCCTATCTTTAAAGATCAGACATGCTAACAAACTTGAAGCTTTTACATCTTTTCTAGAGGAAAACAATTTCCAGCAACACAAGAATCTTAGCCCCAGGCTAAACAGTTGGTGCCATACTCCCTCAGAGGAAGGAGTGCACTGTTCCTGCATTATACAGAGCTCTGTTATTGAACATCCAAGTATTAGCCCCACTTGAGTCAGGATGAGATCACAGAAAATGGTGAAAAGGTTAATTCACAACATGCAGCCAATGCAGTCAACATCTCACCAGCATTATGACATGGGTGGATTGGGGTTACACACTTACCACGTAAGTACTGACAGTCTCCGTTACCACACTCCGAACTGGTGCTTTGGAACCTCCTGCAGCCGAGACGGCAGGAGAAGGGGGTGGTATCAGAGCTGGCTGGACAGCAGGTGGTGGTGGTGGAGGAGGAGCTGGAGCAGGAGGAGGGGTCACATGGACAGGAGCTGGTACCGGAGATGGTGCAGGTGGAGGTGTTTTAGGACGATTCACGGGAGTAGAGGGTTTAGCCTCCGGAGCTGACACCACTTTGCTGATGACTCTGACAGTCAAAAAAATAAAAGAATTAATATACAACAGCTGTAAAAAGGCATTGACTAAACATGAGAGGCCAATTCATTTTGCCTTTCAAGATAGTTTTGTCACAGCACTAGGACAGTTTTAAGATCCTGACTTGCTACCAAGTTGCAGTAAACCGCCATTACAGAGTGAACTCCACTGCATGTCTCAACCAGACTTGCTATGTAGCCACTTTCTCTATGGCTTCCATAAACCACATTCATTTCCCTAGTTTTATCATGTTAATAGCCAAGTCTGTGGGAATTATTGCAAAGGAAAGTTTATCAGTTGGGAACAACAATTTCCATGTTCAAAATGAGAGATGCCCCAATCCTCCTAAGAATCTAAGTTAGTGGTTCTACATGTTTGCTAGTTCGGTACTTCTTTTCTAGGATGGTTGTGGAATTAGTGGTGGATTCTATCATGAAAAATAAATGACATATGCTACATATTCAGCCACTGTAATACTACTTTAGTACTTGAAGTAGACAGTGTAAAGCTCTAACAAACATACATTGAAGAACAGTCTTGCACAGGGAGAAGAAAACAGTAGATGACCTGATATTTAAGCCATGTACAGGCATTCAGTTTGTCCTGGAAAAGTCTCTGTTCTCCCTGTAGAAACCATGAGCATACAGATGTTTAGGATTTTTCTCCCTTGCAGCAAAAATGGCTGATCTAGGAGAAAAATAACCTGAAACAATCAGGGCTAAATCATTCTCAGGAGGGTTACTTTTGGGAGAACGAATGTCTGTACATGTTCCCTACGAGAGAACCCATAGCATGGTCCTCCACTCTCTCAGGGTGCTTTGCTTCTGCCACCTGCTGCCTCCCCCAGGGAAACAGCAAGTTGCTCGCTGGACACTACTGCTCCAGCCAAGCAGGGAGCATAATACGCCCCCTTCACAATCTACAAATTGAGCTACAGGAAGACACAGACTGACCCTGATCAGTTTTGTCAGCTAATCAGGGCTGCCCTGTGCACTGTTGCCATCTGTCTCCAGGTAGACTGAGGAAGCCTGCAGAGCAGGTTAAGATGTGTGCCCAAAGGCTCCCTGGCTATGCTGTACCAGCACTACCAGCTCTACTCTTCAGGGGCTCAGTATTCAAATATCTGTTCAGGCATCTCTGGGTAAGTTTTTCTACTGGAAGAACAAATCTGGGAGAATTCTCCCAGATCACCTGAATGCGTGTATGCAGCCTTATTAGGTAATACTTTATACATATCATGCTATAAGCAAGGCAGTGAATTTAACAGAAAGAGGAGGAATAAGGTCCCTGCTATAAAAATCTTACAATCTAGTTCAGAAGCAGAGGGTTGAGATAATGAAAAGATATTAGTGTATCTAAAATAAAAACAGAAGGATGCTTGTTTTCAGACAGATGCATCTTCTTATATAGTTCCTTTAGCTAAAATGATTTTGCAAGGCTAAAGTGGGAATGTGGATCAATGGCTGACATGCTGGAAAGGTGTGGGTTTTGAGGACAGATTTAAATAGAAATAAATACTCCAGATACTGCAGCAGCATGGGAAGAGAGATGAAGGAAGCAGAATTTGAGCAAGGAATTGGATGAAGTCAAGGGAAAAGGGATGAAAACTTGGCTCCACTGAAGTTAAGGGGAATTATGCCTCTAACTGCAGGTAAAGCTCTTGTGGTTTACTTTCCACTTGCCACTGTTCAAGAGCATGTCCATAAGCAGCAATCTCAGAGCAGCCGACGCATGGCAGAGCCATGTTCCTCTTTACCTTAGATAGTGGCCTCAAGGTCAGACAGAGCTGAACAGAATCTCCAGCTCAGCCAAGGGAGCTTTTCCCATGCTGATTTCCATATTAGTAAAAAGAAATTATGATAGATCACTACTATGCCTGATTATCTGCACAAATGGAGATCAAAGGGGAGATAATGAGAAAACCTTTTTCTAGGAAATAAGTTGTTAAAAGAATATTTACTATCATACACTTAACCATTTTCATTAAAAGGGGATAAAGCATTCTTTAATGTCACAAATGATTCCTGTTGACAAGAATGCCCTAAGAGTACACTGCAGCTATTCTCTTGCAATAGTCAACATACAGTGTGGCCAGGCAAAATCTGCATCCAGCACGGAATCTAAACTGAATTGCAAGAAAGATTGGAAACTATCAAACATTTAATGGTAAGCTGATATATTAACCTTAAAAAAAAGAGAGAGCTTCTAATTGTGAAAGCCTGTTTGCACTACTAAACTACAATGCTAACAAACAAGTTATAGAAAAGAATCACAATAAAAAATATAATTCTGGTGACCAAATATGTTACCGTTTCCACCTGCTGTGGACTAAAGATGAGAGACAGAAAAAGAACAACCAAATTGGAGGAACACAAGAAAACTAGCCAACAGAGAAAGCCTGAAGTGATGTGGGATTGATTTCCAGAGTCAGTAACACTGTTTACAACTTCAACCTCATGACTCTGCATTTCTGCTATAAAAAACCTGACAATAATAAAAATGAGATGAGGGACAGAGGGCAAATCAACACAGAGGGCAAATTATTTGGCACAGAAAAAAAATTTCTTTGGATAGTTCAAAGAACATCCTTGCTCTTTCCTTTCCCTCTTTTTGTTTATATGTTTTTATGATTAAACTACAAGTCTTCAGGCCACCATCTCTTAAGTACAGCCTAAGAAAATGTGCTAGCCACTGTGATTTTAAACACAACTTTTTGTCTACTGCAAGTGAAGTCTAATATCTGTTTACACAAAGGTATTAGCTGGTTATGGTGAATGGTATCTAAAACTGTGCTAGCTTTTAATGTCTTTTTCTAGCATAGATAAAGACAGGTCCTGTTCCTTAATGGGGTCTTAGAAGCCACTATAATAAAACTGATGAAAATGCTTCAGCAACTCCAAATGCACAGGCAGGTCAAAACAAACTCTCACTATGTTCACTGATTACTAGTAGCTGTAGTAGTAACAAGCAGCAGTCAATTTATTGCCACTCAAAGAAGGGAACTTAAAGGTGTTAAATAATTTCCTACATTCAGATATAATTCCTACCATCATTCTTACACTGGACTGTGGGTGTGACTGGAACAAGCACCCAGTACAAGGTTGGTTTGTTTATCTTGGCTTTGACAAAGTTATCATGTAGGAAAGGTCAGCATTTGGAAACACCCTTGGACCTACCACTCTATAGAGCTAATGATATTCTGTGGCAGAAAAGAAAGGAATTGCTCAGGCTTATATCACTTGAAAGATGATGGGGTAATTTCAGAGAGGATGGATCCCTTGGTCTCCTATCTGAAGACACGGGCTGTCTACATGGTAATACGTAGGTGGGGAGAAACTAAAGTAAAACAGCTGCCCTGTGACTAATAATTAACGCTACTTCAGACTTGTATAGAACAATAACCACAAGCACTTTATAAATCAGAGCAACAATTGTCAGCCCCATTTTACAGGTGATGAAATTGAAGTGGAGAGGCCTAAGATCATGTTGTAATATAGAGGCAGACACCAAAACCAAACCCCTGCCCCCATAACCAGTTCCTTGCTTAGATGCGCCATCACCCATGAGGCTACAGGAATTTAGAAGCAGGTAATAATTTACTTTAATATGTATACTACCTATTTTCAAAATGTGCTAATGTGCGACATGGCATGGCACTTGCACAAAAAAGTTGGAGGCTAGATTAAATTATTCTTAGAGGCAACCAGAGAAAACCCGAGATCAGGCAGTGAACGAAACACGTTCAGAACCTTGAGATCAGAGTTACGTTTCTCCGTGGGCTGCTTGCCTACCAACATGTCATCACGATTATTTTCTATATTAAAAAGATAAAAATCAAGTATTACCATTTTTATGAAAATGGCTGTTTCAGAATGAAGGGGTGTGAGAAAACCCTTGGACTAGATGTGGTAATGAGAGCCTCCATCCACCGTACAAAGTAACAACTATAACCACTCCCTTCTCAAAGAAACTGGAATTATTGCATAGGCTTTGTAGTACAGCTGTTATTTTCCTCTTCAACTTTTAAGTATCCTTTGAACTTTTTTTTACGGTAAGATGAAATACATCTCATACAAAATGTCTTAATGTATTTATAAAAAAATACATGCATTTATAACTAATATCCTAAAGTATGTAAAGATATAGTGGAATCCTTTTATAAAGGAGGATTTGGTCAATTCCACTTTGATCATTACTTTGGACTGATCAATCCATTCAGATCCACGAAAAAGACCTCCCCAAACATGGGCACAGAAGAAAGTTCTCTTGCAAGCACAGAGCGACCCACAATTTTTAGTACCAAGGCAGACAACCTTGCAAGCCAGGCAAAAATCCTGGGAAGGCAGGATTTTTACTACCAAGACAGATCAGCCAGGTTATAATTGGCTTTAACTGGCACAAGCTATGACCCACTGGCTCTGGAGCAGAGGGGGACTCAAAGGTATTTAATTTATTTCCTACCGTAGGAAGTAGCTGGTCTGATATCACCATGATCCTCACATTGCCTACTTAGTATAAGCAGAGGGAAAAGACAAGCGTGCCAAAAGCCTTCAGAAAAGTATGATCTGAATCACTAAGTTGAATGTTTATTACTAGAGGTGATGCCACGAAATGATTATACTGAGTTATCACAGGCTAGCCAGGAGTCAGTCTAATGAACCTCATTTTATTGAGGGTAAGGTTCCAAACGAATTCTTCCTCAAAAGCTGGCTAAATTTACTTCCTACTCTCATAAGTGCCTTAGGCATGTAGGAGCCCAGGGCATTTTTACACAGGAGGCGCTTTAATTAAGAGCGGGTCCAAGAGCACCTGGAGTGTCTCGTGTATCAGAGAATCCATGCTTCAAAATGATGGCAAGGGTGCTTTATCTAAAGCTCAACGAACAAGCTTTAGTTAAAGGCCCCCCCCCCCCACACACACACACTTCTGAAATACAGGGACACTGATATCCAAGATGCAGAGGCTGGCTGGAGCGCAGTAATTACCACACTC